AGATAGATAGATAGATAGATAGATAGATAGATAGATAGATAGATAGATAGATAGATAGATAGATAGATAGATAGATAGATAGATAGATAGATAGATAGATAGATAGATAGATAGATAGATTCATTCTTTTTTTGCAAGAGGCCGGGAAATCTTGCTGGTGCAGGGGGAAGTATGAGCAAGAAGTCTTGACATGGTGAGATTTAGAAAATCATGGAAAATGAGAATTTTAAAAATATTTTCCCCATCACTAATACATACTGAGACGTGTGTTTGTGTGTGTGTGTCTGTGCCTGTGTCTGCGTGCGCACGCGCATTTACGCACTCACATACAAATTATGCCCCAAGTCTTGGTTTTTATCCAGTGAGTTACATTTCAATTTATTTCCTTTTTCCTTACAGAACTGTTAGAAAACCACACTCTGGAGCTATTTCCAAACTTCATGAATTTGCCTTCGTGAATACATATTTCCAAACTATTTTCATATCTATTCTTTTTTCCAGAGCAAAGCAGATGTGTATCTTGGGGGAAGCTATCCTGATTTTTCTTCAATGAAAACAATAACCCACTGGAGTCAGGTAGACTTTCTTATAGGTTGTGCGAGCAATTTCATACATGTCTTTACTTACTACATGACAGAATATATAGTCCCTGGTATAGGTACAGTACAAGCATAATCAAATCTTCTTTATGTATGTAGGTTTCCCTGTCTTTTTAAAAGTAGCACATTACTAACGAAGGAAGAACTCTATTAAGCAACATGGCTAAACATGTCACTGGTAACTTTCCAACTGAGCCAGAGGCGAAGCGAAAATTCAGTAGAATGTGGGGTTTTTTTGCAGTGCATGTGGAAATGAAAGATGCTATTTGGAAATAAAATATCAATATTTTTCCTAGGAATACCTATGCACAGTATTTGTACAAAACCAAAACTTTTTAATGACTACATTATGTGAGAAAGAGCTTCTACTATGTTTGTGAAGGTTCTGGGTGGGAATCATTGAATCATAGAATAATGGAGTTGAATAATAGAATAAGGCCATCAAATCCAACCCCCTGATCAGTGGAGTAATACAAATAAAATGATATCTGACAGATGGCTGTCTAAATTTCTGTTGAATGCCTCTAGTGTTGGAGCACTCAGCACCCTTTGAGGTAATTGGTTCCATTGCCGTACAGTTCCATTGCTCTACAGTTAGGATTTCCCCCCCTCATATTCAGCCAAAATCTGGCTTTTTCTGAGCCCATTGTCCTACATTCTGAAATTATTGAGAAGAGATTCTGCCCATCCTCTGTATGACAAGCTTTCAAGTATTTGAAAAGGGCTCTCATATCTCCCCTCAGTCTTCTTTTCTTAAGGCTAAACATGCCCAGTTCTTTCAGTCTTCTTTCATAGGGCTTGGTTTCCAGCCCCGTGATCATCCTTGTTGCCCTCCTCTGAAGTTGTTCCAATTTGTCTGCATCCTTCTTGAAGTGTGATTAAAATGTTGTGTTAGATTTATTGTCTATTTCTTGTAATATAAATATGGTACATCAACAAATTGCAAACTGGATATAATTTTCTTCTTCTTTTTAGATTGCTAAATCAAATGAATTTAAATATTTTGACTATGGAGATAAGAACAAAGTTGTGTACAATATGGTAAGGATATGCCTGATAATTGAAAAGACTAAATGCAGTGGTTATTTTTGCCACTGTTAACAGTGCAGTATATAGATTGTTCAATGTCTTGGAATCACATGAAATGTTGGACAGTATCGTATTGCATAGCTCTACCTGCGCAAAAGGAGTGACATCACTGGCATTTGCAGATTGCCACTAATTGAATAGTTCCTTTTTCAGTTTCAGGGTGTGCATGAGTCATATAGTGTAGTGGACAGAATAATAGACTAAGACTCAGGTGGCCTGTTCTTGAATCTCTGCTCAGCCATGGAAGCTCACTGGGAGTATGGAACTGGTAAAACCACACCTTAAATATCTCACATCTTGAAAGCCCTATTTGGGTCAGTTCTGATTTGATGGCACATATGACTTGTGCACAATTATACAAAGTTGTGCACACCCTAAAAGAGAAAAATGAACACTTTAATTTAACCGGTGTGTCACTGCTAAAGACATCATTCCTGTAGTGCAGGAAGAACTATCTAACAGGACACTGTGGACATATCAAATAAGGGAATGGAATTTGGGGAAAATATGAATTCTTTTACATAAATGCATTCACATGGGGCACATTAATTCCTTTTTGGACCCTAGCTTTGGGATTATGCCTGTTTTTACACAATACTCTCTCTCCCTTTTGCTAAAAAATCAGGACTAAATCCAATTTTAGCTCCAACTTAAAAGGACCCATGGGACAAAATTAGGAGTATGTGAATCCCCTCCACTTGGATTTGATCTGTATTATTTGCCTTACAAATCATAATTCACTTCAAGCCAGTTTGCATCCCACCAATTTGTTTTGTGCCAGAATATTTTGAAGCATTTGTCCATTTCTGTACTTGGTTGAATAATGAAAAAAACATGAAGATCGGAGAAAATAAAGGACTGTGATTTAAAATGGGGGACAGAAATTCAGTGCCATCAACTACAACTGGAGCCACAGAGTGCAGGTGGAGATCCTGCTGGTTTCCTTTCCTCCTGCACTTCCACCTTTTCATTAATCAATCCTCCATTAGCTCAGCACTGTTGTTCAGCTGTCAAGCAATATTTTTCCTGGGTCTGTGGTTGTACTGCCAAGATTTACAACATTATTGAGATATCAAATCTCAGGGGGAGAGGGGAATATGATCAAATCAGTCACTATTTCACATATCTTCTTGAACAGACCAAACCTCCATTGTATAAAATAGAAGACCTGATGGTGCCAACGGCTCTATGGAGTGGTGGGAATGACATTATTGTAGACGCCAAGGATGTTGAACAATTGCTCCCTCAAGTCACTAACTTAGTGTTTCACAAGAACATTCCTGATTGGAACCATGCTGATTTTCTCTGGGGACTTGATGCTCCACAATGTCTTTACAAGGATGTGCTTCGTCTGATGGAGATGTACACATAAGAATCTTAATGTGAGTTGTAATCTGTATATATTCTGTATCAATTGGGAAATTTATTTAGTTGACAGAAAATATTATGAAGATAGCTTTGTGCTCAAGATTCCTGCCATTAATTTAGGAAATGTTTAATACTGATTTTTCACCTTTCTGGTTGAATTTGTAGAGCTGCACTGAGGAACTAATCTGCAAGACATAGCAAAGGCATATTTTCATTGGAAGAACCCCACTGCCAGCCATTTTCCTGGTGCCACAACATACTGCTTTCCCAGTGAAGATGTGGAATAAGGAAAGAAGGGATCAGATACTTCAGATGGTCCAGTTTTGTAAATCCGCACCCACACAGGGTATTGCTACCTAGAGAAGACAGTCTCTGTTCTTCCATTACTCTTGTTTGCTTGACTCCTCATTGTTCTATCTTCAAAGAAAAATGTTGCTAGAAGATCTGAGACATCCAGATGTCATCCAGGAAAAGAATGGAGTTTCCAGTCACACAATGGCTGAAATCCATTACTAACTTGCAACTAGAGTAGGCCAATTGAAACATGGGCTTGAGTGAAAGTAATCTCCTCTGTAAGTTCCATTGATTCAATGGACCCACTCTAGCCGCATGTTAGTAATGGATTTCAGCCATTTTGAACATTAAAGAGTAGGACTGTATAGGTTTCCCATATAGGCCTTTATTTTGATTTGATTATATAAATTTTGAATAAGAACTTAGGTCAGACTCATGTTCCTGATGTTTGAGGGTTCACAAAAGAAGTATATTTGTTTCTCTTTGTGCCATCTTCTGCCTTTTGACTCTCTCACTGTGGCAAAGTTAATCTTCTTAACATTTTCCAGGGAGCACTTTGCTATCTATCTAGCACCAGTGCAACAGATGTGTCATTTTAGAACATTAAAATAACCATATATGGAATCATTCTTCAAGGAATTGAAATCAATATAGGGATTTTTCTGGACTTTTCTGAAGAAGAAGTACTAAGATAAATACTGGCTGAAATCTGCTTAGTGTAGTAAGTTATAACTAGAGTAGCCTCATTGAATCAGTGGAGTTTGGGGAGTCAAGTTCTCCATAGGCTTCAATGGTGAAAAACCTGTTGCTTAGGATAGTAAATTGCAGTGAACTCATCTGTAAGAAAGATCCATTGATTAGTATGTTAAAGTAAGTGGGCTGGAAATGGGAGTCAAGTTCTCCATAGGCTTCAATGGCCAAAATCCTATTGCTTAGGATAGTAAATTGCAGTAGAGTAGGCCCACTGAATCAATGAGAATTTAGCAAGTGAACTCATCTGTAAGATCCATTGATTACTATGTTAAAGTAATTGAGCTGGAAACCATTTGGAAATATATTTGGGGTGGGGGCTGATTTACTAGCCTTTTATCTGTAAAGGTGTGGGGAAAGGGCGAAATGTATATGAAAATTATAACTATCAAAAGCAAAGCAAAGTGTGCTGCTTATATATTGCCCCATAGTGCTTCAAGCACTCTCTGGGCGGTTTACAGGTTAATTATGCAGGCTACACATCCCCCCCCAGTGAGCTGGGTACTCATTTTACCGACCTCGGAAGGATGGAAGGCTGAATCAACCTTGAGCCGGCTACCTGGGATTTGAACCCCAGGTCGTGAGCACAGTTTGGGCTGCAGTACAGCAGTTTAACCACTGCACCATGAGGTTTTGCTTTTACTATCAGAGAGATAAGAAACCTATATAATTTCAAACAGATATTCAGTATAACTTGGGTGTTATAATGAATGAAAAGGGTTTAATGAATATTTCGTTTCCTACTGAATTGATAGCAGAATGGCAAAAACAACAACACTGCAAGACCATTTGGAAATATATTTGGGGTGGGGGCTGATTTACTAGCCTTTTATCTGAAAAGGTGTGGGGAAAGGGTGAAATGTATATGAAAATTATAACTATCAAAAGCAAAGCAAAGCAAAGTGTGCAGCTTATGTATTGCCCCATAGTGCTTCAAGCACTCTCTGGGCGGTTTACAAGTTAATTATGCAGGCTACACATTGCCCCCCCACCCCCGCAAGCTGGGTACTCATTTTACCGACCTCGGAAGGATGGAAGGCTGAGTCAACCTTGAGCCGGCTCTCTGGGGTTGAATCCCAGGTCGTGAGTACAGTTTGGGCTGCAGTACAGCAGTTTAACCACTGCACCATGAGGTTTTGCTTTTACTATCAGAGAGATAAGAAACCTATATAATTTCAAACAGATAAATGTATTCAGTATAACTTGGGTGTTATAATGAATGAAAAGGGTTTAATGAATATTTCGTTTCCTACTGAATTGATAGCAGAATGGCAAAAACAACACTGCAAAGGTGGATAATAAACGTGGAGCATATAATTACAAAAGCAGGAGAAAAATGAAAATCCAGAAACCTCCAAGCAATCATCTTTATTGGTATGTCCTTTGTATACCAAAGGGTTATAATTGTATAGCAAAGGGTATGCACATGTATTTGCATACACATACCCATCAAATGGAAATATCCATAAATTTTGAATAAAGAACCTCTTCACATGCAATGTTTTTCTCATTCGTATAGTCATGTCTGAAAAAACATTGCTTACAGTCTCCCAGGGCTAATTTCTTTGCAAAACAGAACTCGGAAAATGCTTGGAGCATTTGATGCAATTTGAAGCAAAAGGAATTTCTGATTCTGAATGGAAAGAGGAACTGGGGTGGTCAGCATGAGCTTCTTGGTAGAGTAGATTTGAATAAGAATGGGAATAGGAAAAGCAACAACCTAGGACAGTTAGATCTTCTGATTGCTAGGAGATCAGTGAGCCATTGTTTTACATGGAAAATGCAGACACTCAAAGTTAGAGCCACATTTTTTTCTGGCTTCGTAGGTGCTTGTTTTAGCCAATAAAGCAACAGCACCTGAGCCAGCTACTAAGTTTCATAAAGTGGCAGGCAGTCGTGTAACATACTCTAAACTATTCTTCAAGATCCAGAACATTCTTTCAGCGTATGTGGAGAGAGAGGTTCCTCCAACCTCTGTGACCCTCCCTCTACTCCATTGACCTTCTGATGCACTTACTCTTCTCTCTCACTCCTGTCATTCTGTCTATCCCACACGTTGTTCCTACCTTCAGTCTCCCCATGTAACCCAGCTGTCTTCATATTTGCCTGTGCTGTTCCTTGGATTGCTACATTCATTTTTCCACTATTTCTTACAGCCACCCTCCTCACTGCTCTCTTCAACCAATGCAATTCAAACCTACTCTCCCAGTGCAGCTCTCTGATCCATCTTGCTGCTCTCTCTAACCACTCTGTTGCTCCTTGGAGCCCGCTCCCTTTCTGCCATTGACCCTTGAAAAAAGGAATTTCAGTCAGGCAAAGGAAGTATGTATGTATGTCAACTGATGGCCAAGTGGGGAGAAGGCCTTGAGGGTTCAGTGGACAGTAAGTACTCTACCCATTCCAATAGTGGAACCATTCAAGAAGAAACTCAAAAAAGGTAAATCGATTACAGGGGACATTGTTATAAATGGCCAGGAGAACAACCTTCTCTAACTTATATTGCCCATAAGCTATCATTGGAGGACTCTGCCAGGAAAATTGTGAGGTGTTTAAATTTTATAAGATGCTCTTGTGATCAACCTATTACATTTATTTATTTATTTATTTATTTATTTATTT